CCGTACAGCTGCGCTCAGTGCGGGAAGCGCTTCACGCAGTCGGGTCACCTGAAGACGCACCAGAGCGTGCACACCGGGGAGCGGCCGTTCGCCTGCGAGCACTGCGGGAAGAGATTCGCCGGGAAGCAGAACCTGAGGATCCACCAGCAGAAGCACCATCAAGGCGAGCAGGCAGTCGTGGTCTTTTAACCCGGTTACCGGAGAACTCGCTGCTGTTACTCAGTTCAAGACATTTGATTGGAAACTGATTTTATATCCACTGATCAGCCAAAACATTAAACACTCCTGACAGGCTTCCCTGAATAAATACCATCGTATACGCTCTGATTACAGTGGCTGTTCAGCTCGCAGCACATTTCTAGAAACGAGAATAATTATTGTTGCCATCTGACCAGCGTGAAGGTGGAGGAACGACATGGGAGGAGCCAAGCAACAGAGTAAAAACAAAGGAAACACAGGAGAAACCCTGGAACTGTTCACTGTGGATCAGTCACCGTCAAAATCTAACTTATCCGCTTCACACCTGCTTCTTCACTCCCTCACTCTGTCATCGTCTACTTCTGTCTGCAAACTCTTCTTAAAGTTCCACAAAACACTGAGGACCTCCACCCGCTGCACCCGTGGCAGCACGAGCTGGTTCTAATGTTGTGGCTGATCGGTGAACAGACCTGATCAATAGCTCTGACTGCTGTCGTCTTTCAGGCCTTACCTGTTTGTAACCATGTGCCTCTGTATTAAACGAGGCCCTCTGACCCGATCCTTCATTTCTTACAAACACACACGACCCTGTTTCAGGTTCCCTTTGATTGTTTTCAAGATCAAGAACCGGCGTTTGGATGGAGCATGTGAATATTCTTTGTTTGGCGTATATCTGGAAATAAAAGTGTGCGCTCTCACATTGATCATTTTCTTTGCTTTGCTCGTGTTTCAGGTGCAAAATCTGAGGGAAGCAAGAAAATTCATATTTTGGACGTGATGGTCAACGACGGTGTTTTAAGATGGACATAAAAAAAGAACCACAAAAATACAGTTGCTGTTTAGTTCAGTCGATCGATTAGGAATTCTCAGTCTGATCTCATAACTTAATATAAGTTTATAATGTATAATAATGTGTTAAAATTAGAAAATAATTCAATTTTCAAGTGCTTTGAGGGGTCAGTGAGACTAGAAAAACGTATTATTTCCAGTTATAAAAATACGGATAAAGTATAAATTATAAGAAAATGAAAAGTCAATGTGAGCACAGAAAAGAAGTTCAATTATAAGATGTCAAAATTATGCAAAAAGCATCTGAAATGTGAGAAAAACTTTAAATTCTAGATCCTGAGAACATTAAATATTAGAGAAAAATGTCAAAATTATGACAAGAAAAAAGTTCAGTTTAACATAAAAAAACTAAAAACTACAAAGTTGAAATTTTAAGACATTATTTGTCTTAAAATGTCTAAATTATGAAACTTTGTAAAAGATTGTTTTGAAATTGAGAATAAATTAAAGATGATAAAATAATGAGAATTTTTTTTTAAAGTGAAAACATAAAAATTCTGTTTTTCAAAATAAGATGTGAGTATCACGAAAAAGCACGATGACATTCAAAAGTAAATCAAAAGATAGTTTAAAAATTATAATGACATATTTACATTAGATGAAAATGATGAGATGTTAAAACTGAAGAATTTCACCATTAAAAAATATAAAACCAAAATGAAGTGAAACAGTAAATAATGTTAAGAATATTACAAACATTTAATAAAAACAAATTAAAAAGTCAAAATTGAGATAAATGTAAGTCAAAGGTCAAATAAATCATTTTATTGTGATTTAATTTTGTCTTCATTACTTTAGGAAAACTAAACGATCCCTGACTTACCTGCAGGTTAACACACCTGGAGTTCTGCTTTCTGAGGCGACACCTGGCAGCCAATCAGAGGACAGCGTTTTCTCTTTGTTGTGTGTTTGGAGTCTGAACCGTGCTCTCCGTTCAAACTGACAGCTCCACAGCTCAGCCTGCAGTTTCTAATAAAAACAACCAGAATCTGTCTTTAAATTATTCACACAGTGGCGCACACACACACACACACACACACGCCTCAAAGCAGTTCAGCAAAAATATCATTCGTTTTCAAAATGCTTCAAGGATCTGAACAGCAAACAGAATATCAGCTTGTTTATATCTACAGTCCTACGCCTGTTCTGTTTATATCGCATTTACTTGAATCTTAATTGGCTTCTATTCTTTCTCATATTTACACAAGTGAAAAATAACAAAATGATAAACAACATAAATACGTCTGTAGGTTCTCAGACACTGAGGATAAGGTCGACCCAAATGGACTCAGAGTCCTGAGCTGTTGAGGTCACCTGAGGAAACGCTTGTCGTGTCCTGAGAGCCGATGTCCTAAGCGACCAATCCCGCTTAGTGATGGTGGATCACAGTGGACACTTGACCTCCTTCACTCCTCTCAAACTGCAAAATGTGAACGCTGGCTTCCTCCTTTAAATGCAGCTGTACAGCTGAATCATCAACCCGCGCTCACATCTTGCCTCAGGTGACCTCAGCATGATGGTGGATGCTCAACAGGTCACCCTCAGGTAAACCTTGAAGGGCAGAGAACCGACGAGGGGTTAAACACCCGGGAAACACAGCCAGTTATCTTAGAACTGAAGAGGCCTCTTGGATGAAAAGCAGAGTCTTCATGAACATGTCTAAAGACTAAAATATAAATACAATGATAAATACAAGGAATGGTACAATAAATTAAAGATGATTAAAATCCAGCCTCTTCTATTAGATCTTATAGTTTGAGTTCATACATTTTCCAGTTTTACTTTGAATCTTTATATTTATAGTTAGTTATTCTATTTTTATGAGTTTGTGTCAGTGTCATTTTGCATTTTTGTTATTTCAAAAGAATTTTATCTATTTAGGGCCCGAGCACTGAGAGTGAGAAGGCCCTATTGTATCTGCTCCATTTCTTCTTCTTCTTCTTCTTATTATTATTCAGGCAAAACAAGGGCCTTTTTGAGGGCCTAAACATGCTCAAAAACTCATGAAATTTTGCACACATGACAGGTCTGGTGAAAAATTTTGTATTTTAATGGTTTTACATATGAGCACTGGGAAATGGCTCTAGAGCGCCACCTATGCCTTGTTAAATGCAGCCCTACGACCACATCGTTTGAGCTACATGTATGAAATTTGGCACACATGTGTACCATGCCAAGACGAAAAAAAAAGTCTGCGGGCCCATTGACGCGAACCCAACAGGAAGTCCGCCATTTGGACGTGAAGATGACATTTTGGCTCTAATTTTGCTATTTCCATGCCTCGAACGTTTGCGAACTCCTCCTTGGGATTTGGTCGTATAAGCTTCATCTTTGGTCAGTCAATTGTGACTTTAAACTGAACGGCGCACCCTGGTGGCAACGCAGTTCACCATGAAAGATGAAGTGGCTTTTGAGGGGCTTGGAAAGCTTAAAAAGTGTTGAAATTTGGCGCACCCCTCCAATCTGATCAGGGCTATCTTGTTATTTGATCCTTTTCATTGAATAGCGCAAAATGGCTCCACAGCGCCCCCTACAAAATTTCAAATCATCAGCCCCTACTCTGTGTTTTATGTATGAGTCTCAAACCTGGTAAGCTTATGGAAGATATCAAGATGTACAAAAAAGTCTCTTGGAGCAATATCCCAAATCCAACAGGAAGTCAGCCATTTTAAAATTAATGTGTAATTTTGGCGACATTTTCCCCTCTTTTCAGGCACCGTACTTTGACGAACTCCTCTAAGGGATTTCGTCAGATTGGAATGATCTGCAGTGCGTGGCATCTAAAGACCTTTGTGATGTTAAATTGCGAAGCTTTTTCCGTTCAGGGAAACGGGGTGGTCATGGCAGCACTTAGAGTTTGAATCACTCGCCAAAAAGCAGTACTCTGCTGTCACTCAAAAACACCATGTCCAATCTCTCCCAAACGTCGCAGGCATGATGAGACTCGAGCTCGGAAATGTTTGGTATGTCATTTGTCAGTAATGGTTAGAGCGCCACCTAGTGGGACGACTATAATCATGATTGAATGAGATGAAATGTTAGCTGGTGGTTAAATGCATGAATTCCATCAATGTGACATCAGATCGGACGTGCTGGTTGTAGGTGTTTGGCGTGGCTCGACATGCCGGGGTGCGAGGGCCCTCATAACGCTGCTTGCAGCTTTAATTTTTTTAATTTTTGATGATTATTTTGTCCAATTTACTATCTGAATTTTTTAAAAAGTCTATTGTATATTTTCTTTTTCCTACTGACTTAGCTTTACATTATTACAATTACATTATTATTATTACAAATAATAGTTTTATTATTTTATTTAATCTGCACTTTTCATTGTTACCATTATAGACAGTTTTTTCTTATTTATTTAAACCTTTTCACTTGTACTATTTTAACAGCCTGAAAACGCACTTTTTTCTATTTTTACATTAAACCCTTAGCACTGTTTAATTACGTATGCTCTGTTCTGTTTTCTTGCCGTTAGCAGTCGCTCACTGACGGTGTTCTTAATGTAGTTCTGTGGATAACAACAGGCTCTTATTCTGAAGGCAGCGGTGTTGTTCCGGAAGTGAAGTGTTGCAGGAACCGTTTTCTCTTTTTTCTCTTGCCGACGGTTGAAAGTCCAAACAGGTTCCACTCGCGGCTCCATTGCGCCCACCTTGCGGCTCCGTGTGGTCCGGTTCGGGTTCCGTTGGTTCGTCGGGATGTCCGGTTTAAGCAGCAAAGCTCTCCACGAGCAGCTCTCCGTCATCATGGCCGCGCTGACCAAAGCGGCGGTGGCGGAGATCTGCGAGGTGGTGGATGAAGGCTATGCGGTGCTGCAACTGGAGATCACCCGGAGCCACAAGGAGAACGAGGACCTGAAGAAGAAGCTACACCTCATCGAGTCAATCGTGGTCCGGGGGAGCAGCGGGGGAGGAGGAGGAGGAGGGGAGGATGCGGATGCGGATGCGGAGGGACCGGAGGTCTCACCGGCGGAGGAGGCTACGCAGCAGTCGGGAACAACGCAGCAGCAGCGGGAAGGTGACGGACGAGGAGCCGCGGCTGGAGCGGTGCGGGACGAGGTGAGCACTCCGCCGGTCTGAATCAACCTGAAGCCCGGGAACAGGCAGACATCAGAGAGCAATGATAACAATGATAACAACCGCAGGTTAGAGCCGGAAGTGTAATGCAGTCAGCTCACAAAACGGAATAAATAACATTTTGTCTGAATGACATAATTACCTAAGAAATGTCCCGGAAACTTTCTATTAGAAACACATCACGTGTATGTAATCACAAATATATGTATTTGTTATAAACAATAATGACTAATAAAATGAACTGAATCAATCTGCAATCAGTATTCAAAACAACTCAGATGATCGTTTAATTTATTGATATTTTGTGCCAATGCTTAAATATTTAACTCAATGTTTTATCTAATCTGACAATAAATGGAAGATATTTACAACGTGTGTTCTTTTTAAATCGCCCAAATCTGAAAATTCTCTGAAATGAGGATAATTTATTAATAATTACTGCAGTAATAATCAGAATAGTTTTGGAAATAATTTAAAGTTAAAACTAGTTTAAAAGTTTTCATTTATTTCACTTGAATTAAAACCAAAATGTATAAACCTCGAGTTCATCCTTACAGTTAATCAGCACTTAAAAAGAAGTGTTTTCCTCAGATTTAATTTCACTTTTACAAACAGGTTTATGCCATCAAACTTTCTTTTCCAAACAAAAGGAGAAAACGGTCTTATCTCTGCACATGCTCAGTGCAGCCTGGTGTGTTTGTTTTGTCATCAGGCCTGAAGCCTGAGGGCAGTTTGAGAGAGAGCATGATCTCTAACTGAAGATTTGAGATACTGAAGTTTAAATGAATCCCAATGATAAGTCAGCCAATCAGGACTCCAGAAACATTTATTCTTCTTTAGTTTGTGTTTCTATAAAAACAGTACTTTAATCGTCTCCTTTTAATGTTGTCTTTTGTGTTCTTGGCGTCTGCAGCTTCCAGAAGTGGTGCTGATTAAAGACGAGGACTCGGACAGTAACGACGTCTTTGAGGAAGGTGAGTAAACGACCTGCGGCAAATCTTTTGTGTGTTTATTAACAATGATTAAGGTTGTGTTCATGCTCCAGAACAATTTAAAACAGAGAGAAAAAAGCAGAAACGTCTCTGTAAAACTTTCTGCAGAGCTGTAGCGTTACGGTTATTTACACCCAAACTTCAAAATTTAATTCCAAAGTAATAAAAAATCTGCTGCACTCGAACGCACCGCAGGGAACAAACAATCATTAGTAAAGAAACACATCAATAAATTACCAACCAGAGTGTAGTCGTCATGGCTACGGGTTTCTATAATGCTCTATTAGGAAAAAAAGAATTAAGGAGTGACAGCTGGTCACTTCACTTCTTTCTTTCCTTTTTCCTCTTTAATTTTCCTGTCTCCTTTAAAATGCATAACATGTATCAGTTTACACCATGCACTGCTCTGATATCAGTGTTAGATTAATGAGCTGGATTTGGCGCTGTGAGAACGAGGATGGGAGTCTTTCTTTGTCAGTTAAGGCATGAGTGATTTCTCAACTTCCTAAAAATAAAAATGTCATTCTCAGGGAGGAAAATCATTAAATTAGAAAAATAAATAATACTTACAAAAAAATAAAAAACGGCACATCATCAACAACATCAAGAATACTCCGGGCTCATCATCCACAGCTGATATTCATCTAATTTGTCCTGATGAGATCGTTCTCATTCCCAACGTGTAGCATACCGACAATTTGTCCCGAGGTGTCTCATAGGAGCGTTCCTGTGATACGTGTCGGATTGTGGATCCAATCCAACAGAATGAAACTCCCGGTGGTAACACACGTTCCAGCCATGTATTCCAGCCCTAAACCTAACCACAACCTTAATCTTGTTAGATAGATACATAGATAGATAGATAGAGTTTTCTAAAGTGATTCATGATGAGAAAGTAAAAAAAAGTATACATCTGTAGATTCATTCCAAATGGTTCTCATGTTTCTGAAAGTGTAACATATTGTTGTATGTTAGGTTTTGGGATGAAAACGTGTTGTTCTGATGCTCAACATTTCACAGCATTGAATCTTATCATGAAAACTTATATTATAATTTCTTAGGTACTAAGTTAACAGCTGATGGGGTGGCGCCTGCAGCCAGAGAGGGCATCACATCGACTCCCATCAGCCGGCGCACAAAGCGGCGCTGGCGTGAAAGCTTGGAGTCGGAGAATAGGTCATCGTCTGAGCAGCTGGCACAGAAAACATCCGACCTGACAGCAGGGACGCAGAAGACCGTGTCCGTCTACACTCTGGACTCTCCCGATCGTGAGCCGGGATGTCCCGAGCAGCTTGACGACGAGGTCGAGATGGAGCCTGGCGAATCTGCTGTGTCGTACTCGTCACAGATGGACCCCGACATTCATCTGGTTCAGGAGTGCTCGCTGGTTCCTTCGAACGCCAACAGGCCGGTTTATTTTAGCAGCGGCGCTCTGATCGAGTCTCCGTCAAACCAGGCAGACCTCGATCTGACCGTCGACCCAGGGTGGCCCAAACAGTCAAAGGGTCAGATGACTTTTACTGCGTTTCACCAAGACGGAAACGCGGATGGCGACGCCTTTGGGCTGAAGGTGCTCAGCGTCTCCGGCTCGACCCCCACAGACTGCCAGCTGTCCGAAGCCAGCAGCTCTGCCTTCGAGTACGAAGACGGCGGCGATGTCATGAACTTTGCCCTCTACAGGGACCAGGCGGGGCGGCCGCAGCTCTGCAACGGGCAGCCGAGCGCGGGAGGCAGAGGGAAGCGTTTCGTGTGCTCCCTCTGCAACAAGACGTACGCCACGTCGCAGAACCTGGA